TGCAGCCGAACGGCCGCACGGCGCTGTACAAGGTGTAAGCGTGCATGTACATGGACACTCGCTCATTCAGGAATTTCAGAGGGATGTTCGACCCGTACTGCGCGCGATAGTTCATGGCTTCCGTTCTAGCAGTCTCCACTATCTGTCTTGCGTCTGAAATGAGTCCTGACACTGCCTGTAAACAATATGAAAGTCGATAAGAAACTAAAAGTAATTTTTATTTATCTATGGCCGGGCGCCGGGTCTCGGAACAACGTATTATCTTCCAGCGTTTACATATTCACGCATCAAACTTAATGAAGTTTGTGGCTTCTAGTTTTGATTATGCGATAAAGGTCATAGCGTGAGCTCATGACGAGACAGTAAGCTCGTATGTTCAAAGTATAAGTCAGCAGATCACGATTGGAATAATGAGTGATACGGAATGAATCGCAGTCAATCAACACGTGCGCTCTGGCTATTCAATAAAGGGACCCTGACTGTGCACAAGGTTAGGTAAATTGTTCAAACATAATGACTTAATATTAAATTTCTGTAAAAATTATACATGTTTTATAACCATTGAATAAAAATATATTTCAAATATTTTTATGATTTTCATATTGGTTCATAATTTGTGGTGGTGGTTTGTGGGTCTGCAGAAAATCTCTTCGGTTCTGGCTACGGCCAAGCCCATACCGTAAACGACGGTCATACAAAATCCACCACATGCTACAGGTTCCAGAATGAAACATTCTTGTTCATACTAACCATGCCAACATTTTTGTCAATACTGAATATTCTTTTGTTGGCACCCGGTTCATACAGCTTCGAAGTTATTAACTTCTCCACTGCAAAAACAACTCCATCCTTCCCTCGGAGACCAATCACAGTCCTGTAAGAAATGCGAATGTTAACGTACTTCCGTAATGAGTAATGACTACAGAGATACTGCCAACTTGAAAATGCTTGAACTCAATTTTTATATTGGTCACACAGCAATTCACTGCTGCATAAACACCTTCCCATTATTTTCTGAAATTAAAGGACAATCTGAGACAGAGTTTACAGATATTTAATTTATTGTGAAGTTGGTGTTAACTGCTATCAGATCTAATGATGACCGTCATTACCCTTCTGATGGAGGAAGTAAGTTCCTCTAAAATGTCAGATCATACACAGTATTACATCCCAGAAGATAAACATCATCATAATTATCACCATGAGAACCTCACATCTCATCTGCTTTAATATGTTTTGTCCTGGCTGTCTATCACTAATCCTTGCAACACTGCTAAACAAACAAACAAACTAACTAACTAGCCTGAGCTGCACAGGATAGAATATAATTTATTTACATTCCATAGATGCTTCATAGGCCTAATTCAATGATGTAGAACAGGTCATAGCACAAATACAATATTTATTTTTCTAGTACAAATGTAAATACATATGGCTATTTACAGATTTTGGAACTACAGCAAAATAATTATAAAGGGAACCATCACCATTATTAATTACATGTATTTATAAATTATTCTACGGAGTAGAAGGAGTGAGATAGGAGATACTTTTTATATCGTGGTTTAAACCCGAGGCTCTCATTTTAATGCCTGCCATTATTGTAATGATCCTCTTTTGAAAGTGAAATACTTTTTTCTGTCTGTTGAATTTCCCCAGAAAATGATTCCATATGACAGGATGGAATGGAAGTAAGCAAAATAAACTAATTTTAAAGTTTTTGTTTTCATGAGAGCTGCAACTGTCCTCATGACTGATAAGCTTAGTTTTGGGATAATGCATTGAACATGTGTTTTCAAGTTTAATTTGTTGTCAATTTGTAGGCCAAGAAATTTAGTTGTTTCTATGTCCTTGATTATTTTATCATCATACCCCACATTTAGATTAAAAAAGTATCCGATGATAGAATATCCTTTTCAGGCAAGTTGGCACTAACAATTAAAATACAATAAACCAAAGTACTGACAACTTTTGGTTTGACTGTGGTGTTCTTGGTTGTGATTTCATGTATTCTTGTCTGTGGTCACCAACATTTCATTATAGCAATATGTTCCTTTGGGGCATTGGTAACCTAACCTACAATAAGACATGTTGTCACAACGCAGAAGACCACAAACGTGTGAACATCACATCTCACATCTGGGTTTATCACGTCTTACAGGCACATAAAATTGCTACTATCTTACCCACTGTTCTCCACAGCTTTATGAGCATATTCTACCTGGAATACTCGACCGTCCGGTGAAAACTGTGATGCTGAGAGATCGTACTGAAACAAAATGATAATTAAAACTAAAATTAAAACAATTTTAAACTGGTCAATACATAACCTCAAAGGTTCACCATTCTGAAATACAATCTTAATGTTTTCATACAAAAATAAACACGCAGGTTAGATATTTCCTTGTTACTTACACCTGTTCCAATAGAACTCATTTTATACGTTATTCCCTTTCGTTCTTAATAAAACTTTCTACAACACTGAACAGCACCAGATGATAAGCAAAATATTTGTCGCATATACCGCAATGGCAGACGGGAGCAGGGTTATCCAATTATTTACTTCCATGGCCTACTGTATTATACAATAAATGTCCCCCACTTCGGAACAGGTCCTTGTGTAGTTAATGGAGGCTATGTTAGAAATTGAGGAATATTCAAAGTTCAATCTTGATAATAGTGGTATGACGTGTATTGAAGGAACACGAAATTAGCGTGGCTTTTACATAAACAAGTGTGGAGTGAAGATAAATTTGTAGGAAAGGATCTGTGTTCTTGATTTAACGAAATGTCATTTATAACTAATTTGACGCACAAATCCTGGACAAGTATGAAGATGCGTTTTAGTAAAAGTAACCCTGGTGAGTTCCTAGAATTTGCTTTAGAAGTCATAAAGCTAAAGAAAGGTGAGGGTGCGTCCTACAATTTTTAACAAAAAATATTCTCTGGCGTCATTATCTGACGGGACTGAACATTTTAAATAAGGGCAAGTGTTGTTTTCTTTATAACCTGTGGAGGAAAGAAATTCTGTTGGTACAAACTGTCAGGATTCCTTATTTTCTTATATATTGCCATAAAACTTTCGAATCCTTCATAATGTTGGGGTTAAAGAAGCCAGCTCAGTGGTTTCTCAAGTCCAAATATTTTTTCTATGAGGCTTATGTGGTCATGATATAGTAAATAAGCAGGTATCACAACAAAATAAAATTCTTCTTTATTTTTAATCATCCTGTTTCATGAAAAAGATGTGAATATAAATTACAGAGTGCAGAAATGTTCATAAATTGCTTTGCTTTAGGCTCAATTCTCATGTACTGCATGCCTCACTAATATCATTGTCCATTTTTTTATCTTTAAGTTTGGAAAATACAAAAATTAAAGTTTAAGAATTATATATGTAACCAGAAAATTTTTAAACATCTAATGTGTGCTGATGCATAAGATTTTGACTCTAGCAAAATTTGACTGATGGATTAGTTAGTAGCCATGTTTATTAATGCAGAAAAGAAGCTGTTTACACCTGGTCCATTGGTCTGTAGCCAGTCTGTAAAGGAGGCAATGCTGCGAGACTTGGGTTCAAGAGATGGAGAATTTATAAATGTAGTAAAACTTGTACGACAAAAACTTCTGGACATAGCAGGTAAATGTTATATTCTTTGTAAGATTTTAGGTTTTCTTGGCAGCAGAGATGATGGTCTTCTGGACTATGATGCTGTGTGCTTTTGTAGTTGGTTAACAAAGTTTCAGTAAAATATATCATCTCCATTTTCAGTGTTAATGTAATATGGTCCTCAGAAAGGTTTAGATTTTGTTACGAATATCATATTCTTATGGCAGGTCCATTTTTAGAATTATGATGGCTGGAAATAAATTTGTTTTTAAGAACTGACGTCAGAACATGGATATATGCAAATTATGAAAATATCCATGTACAAATATTGACCAAAACTTGGTATATGTTTCTTATCTTTGTCATTGCATGATGTTTTGATTACCATAATAATAATCATCTGTGGTGAAGGGAACATACCAGACCAGACAAACTCCTCATTATTCAGTTTTCTTTACCTTCCTCGTAGGTCCAAATATTCCTCTCAGCACCGTTCTCGAAACCCTCAATGGTGTAGTGGTAGCGTGCTTTCTGCTGGATCCAAGATTTTCAGGTTCAAACCCGGCCGAGAGATTTTAAAGTGTGTTACAAATCTGTAGCATGACTTCCTTCAGAGGTGAAGTAAAGCCAGCGGTCCCATGTCGTAGATTTACGGAGCATGAAAGAGATGTTTTGTAAGCAAAATTCAGTGGCCATTTCTCACCAATGTCTCTTCTGATTTGCTACTAGAGGGCTTTAGCAGACAAATAAGGAACGAGTAGAAATTGTATGAATTCAGCAGGCTTGTCACCTGCTACTCTGAGACACTAAAAGCCTAACATGACAAGTTGCCTTGAGCAACTGTCCGGAATGGGCCGAGGGCCCAATCCTAGACAGGATGATGATAGTTCTGTATTTCTTTAATCTTTATGATTCTAGATAACAGACAGGAAGACAGAAGGCTCTTATCTGCTTGGTAGTATGAATTCCCAGCATTTAATGTGAGGACTGATATCTGAAAGAAAAGGATTTTTAGACCACTTAGTGTTGACAGAAGCAAATTTTACCGGATGTCAGAAGTTTTGCTTGTCATGCGTAATTGTTGTGTTGCAGAAGTTTCTCCTGAAGAATTCACCGCTGTCTTGCTTCAAGGCTGCGGCACTTATGCAGTAGAAGCCGTCTTTCAGACTTGCACTCCGCGTCATGGGGGAAGAGTAAGACGGGTTCACCGCTGAAGATTGGGTGTAAAATGTTATCCAAAGGGATCAATAACTTACACTGTGCGTTACTAACGCATGCGTCATAGTGGGACATGTCTGTGCAGTGGTGGGTGTTCTAGGTGTTCAGCTCGTAAGCAAAATAACTGAAGAAAAGAGTAAAACCATTCAGTCTGGTTCAGGGCTCAGGCAGTCTATTTTTTATGGTTTTCCTCAGCCCTTCTGGATTAATGGAATTCTGAAATGGGCTGTAACCAATTACCTCCCCAACCTTTCTAGTTCATTGTATGTCATCTTCTCATCCCATTCAGTACTAATCTCTGTAGTTGATGTAATGTTCATAAATAACAGTGGAAAATAATGCAGGGACAACCAAGAGTTTTGAGAGTCATTAATAAATTGTAGGACACAACTCAGATAAATAATGAATGTCTTTGAAGATGTTCTAGGAAGAACGAGAGTCATTAATAAATTGTAGGACACAATTCAGATAAATAATGAATGTCTTTGAAGGTGTTCTAGGAAGAACATGGTACTTCCCTTAATGTAAACTTCACTTCATCTGTCCTTCAGAACTTCGGGTTTCAACTATACAAGTTAAATCTCCTAGACGTTTAACAAAATCCACTCGACCCATAGTCTTGTATTTTGCTTGATACGGATGTGGTCTCTGTTGGCTCTTGCCATCGCGAGTGGACCACAAACAGACACCGTAATTGACGTGCTTCAGTCATACTTTTGCTACTACTGCTCTATGTCGCATGCATGTTTCTAGAGTCCTCTGCACATCTGTCTTTAGTTTTTATCAAATTAGTTACTCTTTTATTTGCAGTCTAAATAATCAAACGTTGAAACACCTCGCCCTAAAGGTTGCTTTGAGCATGTTGTCAGTAGTCAAGGTACATATTTTTTGCAGACCTCGTTCGGCTTCGAGGCCGACAGTCGGTCGACCTGGCGTAAACTATTAAAAGTCTGATCCACTTAATAACTTTTTTATTACCTCATGCTTAGAGTACGCCACTGTGAATAAGTGCATGTGTGGAGTAGTTGGTACTTGTGAGTGGCTCTGCTCATGACTGAATAATATAAAGCGTAATTTGAAACGTCCGTTTGCATCTGAGATAATGAACTTATTGAAGTTTATGCAGATGATTTCACCCTGGAAAAGGGACTGATGTTTTTTCATGAGGGAATCATATCAGTGGTTAAGAGGGTGATGTTTGTTGTTGACAGAATCTCATGTGTGTGTGATATTCTGAATGTGCGTGCCCTGGTCGAAGTGGTGGTGACACAGAGGATAGCTTTTAGATTGCGTGGTAATTTTGGCGTGAGATTTCATTGCATGTGTGTGGGACAAGAAGATTTTAAAACTGATAGTTGGTAATGATGATGGGATAATGGCGGTGAATTTGTAATGTCAAATAATGTAATGGTGGGACCTCAAAATGATTTTATTGCATGTTCATTCAAAACCATAATGGGAACTTGATATTTTTCCTACGTGCCAATAAGTACGTTTCTCAGGCGCATGTTATTCTATAATGTGTTATCTACATAACTGAAAAGTTTTGTTGTTGGGATGGTAACTTGTTCCGATGTACATGGTACATGGTTCGTGAGTGTCTGTCCATGACCTCTGTAACATTTCCTTCTGCCTTTACATGTTTTTGCCAATGGCTGTGCTAGTCACGAAGGCCTTTCCCTGAATGTCCTTAAGTGTCACCGCCGTAGCCTCATTCATCCCTCTGCTCGATGGACCCAGCATCCGTTCAACAGGCCTCTCATTCCTGGCAATGCCAATTGGTATGCGGAAGTGGTCGGAACTCCTGCTTGGTCCTTGACAAGGGAGGAAATTGCGATAAGTGGGTCCCCCATTCCTTTGGCGTGGTGCGTCCTCAGGTTGTAGATTGAGGTGGTAGCCTTTAAATGTGTAGTTAATTGTGAATATATTGAATAAACAGTAGGAAGACAGCTGACAGAGGGTGGTCATTCAGCTTTGGGATTGGAGGGGGCTAAGGATGCCTCGCCTTAAAGCTGGCTTTTTGGAAAATGTTAGGTTAGGTTGTCAGACTTCTGGGTGTCTGTAGACTCACTAATGAATGTTTGGGTTTGATAAAATGCATGTGATTTTTTGATTCGCTGAGTAACTATTAGCTTATCAAGAAGACTGTCTTCCATGTTAGACTTTTATGTCTAAATATGTTTGGCTCTGATGATGTAATCAACACCTGAGTAGCGTTCAGATCCAAGAGGCTTCGTAATCGCCCACTTGGAATTAAAAATTAAAATTGAGTGTGTGTGTGTGTGAAATTGTATAAGATATCAGACACATTCATTTTCCAAGAATATGATGTTTGTAACATGGGTGCACCTTCCCATTTCTGAAGGTTGCAATCACTGATCGCAAAATTCTGCGTACTCTCTTCCTCAGAAGAAAGTTGAAAAAGGAGATAACAAAAAGGGGCCATGTTTAACACGAGTCATTGAAACGAAGCACTAAAAAAACTACTTGCTTATTGTTCCATTTGCATTTAGGCTCTGATTCTTGCGAATGGCGCATATGGCAAGAGAATGAAAAAGATCTGTGATACCTGTGGTATTCCCTCTGACATGTTTGAATTCCCTGAAGATGGCATAGTGGATGTGGCAAAGGTGAGTTGCCCGTGTCGAGCAATCTTTTCTTTTAACTGTTTATTTACGTAATATCAGTCGTGTGTGCTCATTTTCGTTTCAAACATTTTATCAGATTGTTTTCATAAAGGTCCATCCCAAAAAGCAAAAGAAGAACCAAGTGACCAAATGCACCATCGTCAAAATTTTAGTACCATAACGTACGATCACTCTTCCTGTGGTGCTTCATGCGGTATGTCTTCAGGTGAAGGAGTTACTGGAGAAGGGGGTGCAGTATGCTTTGGTAGCAGTGGTGCACTGTGAAACAAGCACAGGTAGTATCAACCCTGTCGAAGAGCTGGGCCAGACCATCAAGCAGTACCAGCCGCAAGCCGCTTACCTTGTGGACGCCATGAGCAGCTTCGGCGCTGTGCCAGTAAAGATTCAGAATGGGCAGATAGACTACTTGGTTAGCTCAGCCAACAAATGTCTTCAGGGCGTTCCTGGTTTCTCGTACGTCATAGCCAGGAAGTCCGAGCTCTTTAAGTGCAGAGGTACGACCCCAGCCTCGCTTTTGAAATATTTTATGGTTGTCAGGAAAGTCTTCGTCTAAACTGATTTATTTTTCTTCAGGTAATTCTCGCAGTCTTAGTTTGGACCTGGCGGATCAGTACGAAGGATTTGAGGGGAACGGACAGTTTCGTTTCACCCCTCCAACACACACCCTGCTTGGATTTCTTCAGGCGCTGCAGGAGTTTCAGGAAGAAGGGGGTGTTAATGGAAGAGCCAAGAGGTGAGACTCAGCATTTCGGACTCCTACAGGGAGATCCGATTGTGATGAGTTGAATGTCGTTCATCAGCTTCTGGTTGCTAGGATACCATTGGTTTTTACTCATTCATGGATTATTTAATTATTCTATCAGAAGCTTATGTTATGTACCATCAAATGAGTTAAATTGCAGGCTTTTGTAATCACATTCATGAATATTTGATTTCCATGACAACTGGGAATTTCTTGAGCAGCAAAAGAGGAATTGCTGGCAGTGCAAGGAGTTTGTGGGCGTAAACGTTAGGGTACTGATAATGTACGTGTTCAAAATATATCACGTAGTAGGGCCGCGCTCTTTCAGGTACAAGCAGAACTGCACGGTGCTGCAGAGAGGAATGGAAGAACTTGGCTTCTGTAAGTTGCTGTCTAGAGAGTGCGGAGGCTATATCATCACGACGTACCACTATCCTAACCACCCCAACTTTAACTTTGAGGAATTCTACTGTAAGCTGTGTCAGCTCGGTGGGTTACACGTCCAGTATGAGTTATAAGCAAATAGTGTCTGGGAGATGGGTCTCAAGTCTTGGTTTTGGCTTCGCTGGATGTTACATATTCCATGTATCATCCTCCTTTCTTTTATTTTTCATTTTCTTTATTTATTTATTTTATTTTTGTAAAATGTGGCTTCAAAACAAATTAAATTACTGGGAATTCATCATTAACTATTAATATCTTGTTTCGTTAAGACATAAATGAAGTTCACGGCGGGACGGATCGTAATAAAATGCTATTGTTTCCAGGTCAGTTAATATACCCTGGCAAACTCTCGAATGCCAACTGCTTCAGAATCGGTAACATCGGTGACCTATATCCGAGCGACATGAAGTATCTGCTCAAGTGTATAGGTAAAGTGCTGGACGCAATGGACGTGCCTGTACCTGTGCCTGTTCCCGCGCCCATTTGCCTGTGTGTGGCGTGACGTCAGGTTATCCTTTTGTGGATAATCGCTGTAACGTGCTTGTATGCTTATGAAACAAAGTGAGAAACATTGTTTTAATCAGACGTACCTGCCCTTGAATACCATCCTTCCATTATATAATCTTCATTCCTTACCATCATAACTTAAATAAATGGCTGCAAGAGATATGTAGGAATGTATTAGGGGTGTCAATTGATAACAAAATTGAGGTTATGTTTTATGGATGACTGTGCTTTTCCGTCACCATTGCTCACAAGAAAATTAAATATATGTTGTTTTTAATGTTATTATTTGTAGTATTAAAGACGTTCATTCCTTATCCAATATTAAATGTTTTCTACTTACTGCAGTATTTCTTTATACATTTTAAAAGTACAAAGTGATATACAATACTAAATTTATATGGATATTTAATATTTGATATAATATCGTAAATCAATTCACATCCCTAGTATGTATGTATTTAAACTTGGTGATAGATAATATATTGTTTTACGTAGCAGATAAATATATCACATATGGTCCAAGTAGTATAGGCTGCTATGTTATTTAGTACTCTGAGCAAATACCAGATGGCATTCGCTTGCTAGTTTGCTTTTCGTAGACCGCACGTAACAATTTTCCTTTGTGGAACTTGGTTGTTTTTTACGATTGTTATAATTTGTAAGATTACTGAAAGATATTTTACATATGTAAACTACATAATAATGTGACCATACTTATAAGTGTTAGTTAAACAGGTCAATTCCATTGATTCTGGTAATGCAGACCCACGGCACTGAACAAATTGCCAACCCCTGCTATGTAAAATGACTGTGAAGATAAACATCACTATTTTTGGAAAATGAAACATCAAGAGAAATATACTGAGGCAATTTGTTTTAATTTTCCTTTCAGGCTATATGTTACCGTGTTGTTAAACTTACGTTTGTTACATTTTAGGTGCAATACTTATAGATTGCTTCACTTGAAAGTCCATTGTTATGTATACGCGTAGCATACATTTCGGTCGCTTGCCCAGAGGCCCCTTTTATTTTGTCATATTTTGACGAAAGTTGGATCGTTTCTAAAAATTTTAGTAAAACTCCCCAATATAAGATTGCCAGCTGCCACTCCTGACTGTTCTACGTTGTCGACTCCATTAGAAATGCCCGTCCAGATCTGCGACTTCGTATTTCCAAATCTTTCTGCCTACGGCATTTTCAAATAAAAAATTAGAAGAGACTTGGGAGAAGGAGAAATTATGGGAAGGTATTAAGAAGGGGAGGACGGAAATGAGTAGGAAATACTACGGTGACTTTGTAATTGGGGTGGGGGGGATGTAAAAGCTGTGATTATGGAGTGAAGCCGTGAGGGACGACAGTGGCGCCTGTCGCGTCATTTGTGACAACCACGCGAAAGTGAGGGCGCGTAAGTAGAGTTCTTTATAACAGCTTGTTTCGCTTCTCGATGTCGTTTTGTTTTCTTCCTTAATGGCGGCCGTTAACATTGGTAGCTGTTATGGTTGAAATAAAATGGGAGGATGCCCCACCCAAATGTTTATTATAATTGTGAGTAACGACGGTAGAAATGCGTTTAATGGTTTGGGGACAGAAGAGTCTGCCAGAGGGCGTCTGGGCGGGGCATTTCTTGAGGGGGTTTTTTGCAGGTGACTGTCAACTTACGTGAAGAAGTTGATGATTGGGGGAAGGAGGAGAAATTGAGTGGAAGGAAAATTACGAAATTGTTCTTCTTATGTTTTGTTACAGGTTTCGTAATAATCCCTTAATTAAATATAATTTTAGGCATTTATAACACCTTTTTAAGATGTAAAGGCTCTGACAAAATGCAGTTCCACATTGAAATTTGAAGCTCGTGGGGGCATTTATAATCCCTGGCTGTTTTTTCTACACTTCAGGCTGCAGGCAGTGAATTTCAAACACAGTGGAAAGACGTGGGCATACTCCAGTGGAGTACGCATAATTTATAATTGTGTTGTTTATGCGTACGTAATTTATGCCAATTTATTGCGAATATAAATTTATTACTGCGAATTTTATAACGCTGCTTTTACTCTGAAATTATTTTGTAGTTACATATTTGAAGTATCGTTAATCGGATTTTATTTGCGGTCGATGAACATTCGGCTGAGTATTAATTAATTTAAATTGGTCGTCACTATCAAAGATGGCGTGATGAGTAGTTGAGTCTAATTTTCGTCGTCGATTTTGTCCTTGGAATTAAATAATTAAGAGGAGGCCTTGAAAAACTGAAAGTGACTTTGAAGATATTTTTAATTCCGTTAGAGGAACTTAAGGGCAAAGAAAATCCTGATCTAAGATTCGAACCAAATAACTTCGACATTACGTACACTTGGCTTCAAAAGTTTAGAGACAGATCTTGGAAATGTGCTTCAATATAAAATGGAATTTCCTCTGAAAGTACATGAGTTTCGAATAACATGAACTTGATTTGTATTGTTTTATTTTACTATAATCGCTCTTTTGGTACGTGATCCTTTGTACGAATTCAAATATCTAGCCGTTACACGATCCTGGCTTGTTCGGTTGCCTGGTTACTGACAGACGCTGACTGTCTAGGTCTGGCTGCCTGTAAGCAAGATGGGTATTGTATCATTATTACATTATGGTCTTTATAAGACATCCAATCGGAGTGACCTCTAACCTTTGTTCATTAAGGCGGTTCTTACACTGTATGGAGACTAACTAGGACCTGACCAAAAGCGATGATTCAGTAATATATAACAAAAAAGTTAACAATAATTACGTAAAAACGTATGTACTGTTAAAATAAATTGTGTAGAAAAAAAATTTAATATGCATCATCAGAGAAAGATGTGAGGATCATAACCAATTTTAATTACAGAAATATTAAAAAAAAAATATGTGAGAAAAATCCGTCGAATCAAATTTTTTTTAGTTTAATACGCTTGGTATCAAAAATTCAATAATAGTTGTACCACATTCTTCGTAAAATCCGCGTTATGTAATTTATTTGACAAGCCGAGATAAAACTGAAATTATCCTGTCTTATATTTAAAAACATCTGAGCTTCTGAAGTTGTTTAAGATGCATTGGGATTCTGTTGTAAGGCTTTGACGCGAATAATGAGATGTTAGTGCGGTAACATTCCATGGCTGGAGTTTGTAGTGTTCAGTTTTGTGTGCGCTTGGCTACGTTATATCTCAAAGTAAGATCCACTAGAGAACTGGACGAAGGAGAAGGAAAATATAAAGTTAAAAAAATAATAATAACAAATTCTGGACGAGTATACGTAACGTTTAAGATGGAAGGCAAAGTGCATGATGGGAAAAATAAGCCGGCTTCGTGTAGTCAGTGGTGGGAGATCGGTGCGCAAGATTGCATGGCCAACTCTATTGAAACGGAACCTACGGTTGCTTGTTTCCTCCAGAGCTGCCAATAATAACTCGAAATTTCGCACTGCTCAGTACACATTGTTAGTTTTAAACACAACGCCACTTAACGTTCAGGTTAACAATGGTAATTTATTTCGTTCTACTGCAATTATCAGACCGTTACGTCATCGGTGATCTTGTGAATCTTCGCTTCAGATGAAATTCACTCGATAATTTTTTTTTATAATTTTTAAACTCTGAGCTAAATTTACCTTCGTAATTTGAGAATTCTAAGAATACCAAAAGTAGAATTTAAATAACGAAGGTCTATGTCTTGAAATTTCTTACAGACAAATTACTTTCGTCCTGCTAAGATTCGAAACTTTGAACATTTAAATACAACAATCAACAGGCGATGTAATTGTTGTATATTGTAATCTTTCAGAAGACGTGTCTTTTAATTCGATACAAATATCAACAATGACAACAGTTAACAAATTGTATAAAAGTAAAGAAAAGAAAATTATTTAAATAATATGAATGATAATAGTGAAAAGAATTTATATTATTTATCAGAATAAAATAAGTAATAATTTCACTTTTACTCTTTGCGTGACATTATTACATTGTTGAAATGGAGTAACTGTCAGCTTTTCAGTGCACTTTATGCACCGTGAAGTGGCTTCGTGCGTTCGAAATGTTTGTCGCTGTTCCAACTAGTAACCAGTTTAAACTCCACGGTTTACGACGTTACTGACGTCACAGCCAATGCGTGATGATGACCTAAATTAACAGGTTGTAACGGTAAGGATAATTATCCTGGTGATGATGCTGGACCCCCCCAAGGGATGATTTGGTTCATCCCAACGTTAGACAGTGTCTATAAACGCCTCGTTTGTTCGACATAATTACGTGAAGTAGAATAATCGGTGATACTTTTAATATCAACAGAATGGCTGTTGAAATTTCAACGTAAAGTTAGTGGCTTTTTCGCGTCTGCGCACAAAACCTCATAACTCCTCAAAGTTTAGAAAATGACGTTCCCATGTCTGGTAGCCATCTAGTGGCCAAGATACTAACTGAAATGTTGGAAAGAGTTTTCCTTGAGGGCAAAACATCAAGGGAAGAGGCCAACTGAGAGACCTAGACGTAGATGGTAGGGTAATATTGAAATTGATAAACCTATGTGACACAGGTCTAAGAATATGATCCAACGGCGTCTTCTTTTAATTAAAATGCCAGTGTGCCATCGGAGAACATAATCCTTTAAATCTTATGGTAACTATATGCACCATTTGCTTTAGCAGTCAGTAAATCTGTGTTTTACTCAAAGAATGTACTCGTATGATTGTCACAATAAACAGCGATCATTTCCTTAAACAGCGTTAACCAGTTGATCTTTGTAATGGTGAAGTGTAGTGTTTTCTTCGCGGTACGGACTGGATTCTTAAGTATCATTTGAAAGAGCTTCGGCTTTAAAGGTTAATTAGCGTTTTAGACGTATTATTTCCTTAAACAAGGTTAACCAGTTGATCTTTGTAATGGTGAAGTGTAGTGTTTTCTTCGCGGTACGGACTGGATTCTTAAGTATCATTTGAAAGACTGAGAGTACAAAATCTACTCCTTTATCTGCCGATTGATTGCTTTGTTTTACAAATTTTTCTGCATCCTTATGAGCTACAACGAAAGTTGTATGAAACATTTTGAACCGTTTTCTTTTCAG